TGCGCATTGCTTCCCTGGGCCTCCGACCGCCCCGGGGGCGGTGCAGGCCCGTTCCGAGGTGGGCCGCCTGGTCCTGGGCCCTCCCTTAACCCACCCTCTGGAACCCCCTTTGGGCCTCTCCGACACCCTACCTCCCCCACTTTTACTGAGTTCCACCTGTTGCTTTGGCCGCCCCCCTTTCTCTGCCTCCCTCCATGCTCAATTCTTACCTGTCCTTGCTCATCCCTTGGTCCTTACGCCGGCCCCTAAGGTCCTGCGGACCCTTAATTAGGGCCCTGTTCCAAGATCTCCCCGTTCCAGCTCCTTACCCTCTGTCCAGCGCTCACTTTTCCTCTAGCTCCCCCTATTCCCCCTCCTACAGCCCATTTCAGATCTTTTCCGCCTTCTGCATTCCTTGATCATCCACCTCCGTCCCGCCCCATCCTTTGAGACTCTCCTCCTCCTGGCCAAGCTCAGTGTAGACAGGCCTAGCTTTCAGCCTCTATCCCCCGCCTTAGCCCTGTCCTTGGCCTCAGGTCTGCCCCCGTTTTACCGGATCTGAGCCTCTTTCCCTTCGCCCTGGCCCTTTTCAGTCAGGCTTGGCCCCATTCCATCTACAGTTCCCTCCCCTGGCTCAGTCCCGCCTTCCTCGTCCCAGACCAATCAGGGCCGCTTCTACTGTCCTCGCTCTGATCCGTCCAATGTTAGCTCGACTCCGTCCTCTCCACCTGCCCTTCCACACCATCCTGCCTGCCAGAGGTTTAGGTCCAGGCGGGCAAACTTACTCCCCTCGGGTTAACTCTTAGTGCATTCGATCTGCTTCTATCTTCGTGGCCCTAACCTTCCCGGCCAGCCTGGCTCCGCTTTTTTTCCGCTTCTCTCAGGTCTCTTTCACTCATCTTGCTCCGCTTTGTCCTTTCATTCTGACCTGCTCCGTCCTTCCCCGGAAATATCGAATCGGAGAATCTCGTTTGCGGGAACACTCCCTCGTTCAGGCTGTACTAGAGACCCAGCCCCTCCCTTGCAGGCCTCAGCCCCACCCACTACCCCCTCAGGCCAATCAGCCCTGATCCTCTCCCATAGAGGCCCACCCCTCTGTTCTATCGCCTCTTCCCACCCAATCGCGTCAGTCTCGGCACGCTCCTGCCCCGGCCCGCCCATCCATCGCCTCCTCCCACCCAATCACGTCCATCTCTCCTCTCGAGCCCCTCCCCTTTCTGCCCCGCCCCCTCCGGCCCGCCCCCTGTCCAATGCTGAGCTCAGTCTGCGTCTCG